AGAGATCGCCAGCTTCCTGAAACGCTGGGGAGTACACCACGTCGTCTCTACTCCGTACTACCCACAGTCAAACGGGCATGCGGAGTCGGCGGTGAAGGCTATGAAGCATCTCATCTCGAAGACGACGGTAAACGGCTCCCTGGATGACGACTTCCACCGAGGACTGCTGGAGTTCCGCAACACTCCACGAGCGGACGGACGTTCTCCAGCACAAGTAGTCTTCGGCCACCCCATCCGGTCATGCGTCCCTGCTCATCGCCGCAGCTTCGCCGCCGAATGGCAAGAGCAGGCCGAAGAGTGCGACTACAGGGCGTCGCTCAATCTCCAGCGTGCCAAGCAGACGTACGACAGCTCGGCACATCCACTGAAGCCGCTGAAGGCTGGAGACCACGTCTGGCTTCAAGACCCGATCAGCAGGCGATGGGACAACCTCGGCACCATCGTGGGCGTTGGTTACCATCGCGACTACCTTATCAAGACTCCAAATGGCAGAGTCTTCTGGAGGAACAGACGGTTTCTCCGCCCATCGCTGAAGACGCCCGACAACCCGGAGAAGAAGACGACTTCCTCGCCATCACCGAGCGCTGGGGTGCCGGCGCGGCAACGTGTCCGGTTCCAGCTACCGCCAACGTCAGATCTTTGACGGAGCCAACGTCCCAGAAGAGCACCGACCCGCCTGGGCTGGGAAGACTGCAGGACTGCTCAGCCAGCAGTCTCGAAGAGGGGGGAGATGCTGTGACCGCGCCCAGCCGGTCGGCGAGCCGGGCCGCGCCCGTCCGCCAGCCGCCCGCTGCGCCGGCCGGAGCGCCGCGGACTACGGTCGCGCCACGGTCACGCGGCTCATGGTGCCCGCTCATTGGTGCGGGCACGTGGCGTGACCGAGCCGTGCCCGGTGATTGGTCGGTTGCGTATATGTGAGGGCATGTCGTGCGCTTGTGTGGGACGATGGGCAGTTGTCATCGGGACCTGATCAAATACATACGACTGTGGTCACAGCGGCTCTGCACTGGAGGGACGACGACATCACAGACTCATAATGAGGAACTGTGAATCGAAAATGCTTCCACACGGTGTCTTATGTCTAGCCATAGGCACTAAACAAATGATTAAACTGATGACGTGGATGACCTGTTTGCAGACCTACAAAAGTAACACACGGATTTACATTTTGTTTTAGATTTATTTCTGTTGAGTACAAAAAGAAACATGAGCCAACATATCTGCCGATCTATTACAATGCTGATCGATCGATTTCTGCACTGGGAAGAAGTCGGGCATGCGCCAACTAAATCTGGAAAGACTTATAAAAAGACGATTGAAGTTTGCAGGTAGCATGCGAGAACACAATGTAAGACAACAATACGGAACGTCACCAGCTTCAGCAAATAATGACATGTTTTCCATGAGCTTGCAGCTCAGAATTCCGGCCCCCGACAGATTCTGTCTTGAATGTTAAAATAGTTGCCGGCTGCCGCTGCTATTTCTCAAGTGATGGGCTGGCTGTGGAATCAAGGTTAATACAGGAGTGACGTTAACCCGCGCCCTGCTGGGGGGGGGGGGGGTGTTTGAACACCCCCCTCTTGTGGTTTTTCGCGAATATCTCAAAAACGGCGGCGCGGAGCGCCGCCGTTTTTGGTACACCTTATCATACATCAATTCTACACATGTTGTGAAAATTTCAGACCAAGGTCATTCAAGGTCAGGTCACCAGGTCACTTGAAGTGACCTCACCTCATAAAAAGTTTCAATGTCTGTCATAGCTACACAGAGTGACCGATCGCTTTGAAACTTTCAGCGATTGCTAAGAGCAATAGCATGTACAAAATTTATATCTCAGAATTTTGATATCGATGACCTAAGGTCAGGTCAATTTTGCGACCTCCCCATTATAAGTCAATGGGAGAAAATTGAAATGCGCCTCTTTTGGACGAAAGACGTTATAAACACTCCCAAACACCGAATTACAAGTGGTTTAGACGCACTGAACATGAAAATGGTGTCCGTGACCCTTGTTTATGCCCCGAGGTCATCTTAGGTCACGAATGGTATCTAACAGTTTTTTCGCAAATAACTTTTGATAGAGGCATGCTAGAACGATGAAAACGCCTTAGATGTGTTCAGCTCGACGATACGGATCGACTGGTATGCAACATGACCCTTTCCGGTCAGGTCATGACCTTGACCAGAGGTCAAATTTTCAAGTTGACCTTTTAAGGTCAAGTTATAGTACATTCGATGCGTTTTGACGAGAGGAACACGATGCCGGTAAAAGTAAGCTCGTACAAGGCTTGGGTCAAAAGTTATTGCAGAAAAACTGTTTCCGAAAAAATCGGCTATTTTTGCAGTTTTTGCCCCCTGCAGGCAAAACCGTTGACGTTAGGTCAAATCTGAGAAAATTACTCAGAAAGGGCGTTAATAGGGCTATCGAATGCGCTTTTCCGCGGCGCTGTAGCTCTATTGGTTCCCGACAGGGTTGGATAAAAGCCGGCTTAAATTGAATTTATGCCAGCCAGTGGTTTAAACCGGTTTAAACCGGCTTAAATTAATGAAAACCACCTTCAGTTAAAACATCTACTATAACTTATCTTGTGGGTCAGTGTACTCGTTGGTGACTGTGCAGAGTGCAGGAAGTCAATGCCGTGTCATTTGGTATTATGTCAACATTTTGGCATGTGATTATGTTGATAATCTGGTCAGTAGGTAATTAAGCTTAGAAACAAAGTAGGTATAAGGCATAAGCACATTCTAATCTTAACATTCGGTTTACCAGTTGAAAGTCTCACTTTATTTTACATATAAAATGTATTCTGACCAATCGTCTGGGGACTGGGCCAGTAACACTAGAAAAAATTATTTATCATGGTATCACCCATTCTGTGATTTTTTGTAAATTGCACAGCAAACCATTGTAACAACTCATCATTTATAAATCTTCTGGAATGTTCCTATGGTTTCTGTTTTCTTCAGGTAGTGCATGTTGTTTTCCTGGTATAACAGTGTCCCTAACTAATCACACTTATTATTGTTTTTTTACATGAACTTTGGAGCCTATAATGGTGGCCGTGCTGCCAATTCCTTTGTTAAGTGTCACTGACTGCTTCAGCAATAGACAGTTCCCTAGTAAATAGGCAATGTTCTGTATGATGGTTCTTAGGGCCTTACCATTCACTGATCCTTGCACCATGCATTTGGCATTAGGTCATGTTTGCTACAGCTTCTCATAAAATTGAAATTGGGTTCTTTATTGAAGCTGTCTCCAAGACTTTTCATTCCATGAACCACCTATGCAAATCAAAATAAACATTTGATGCAGGGTGATACAGTCAATAATGAATGACATAAAGTTAACCCCCAGGAAAAAACATTAGGTACAAGTTAGCATGTATAATTGAAAGGTGTGTACAGAAAATGGGAAGAGAAGAAGCAGTTTAACCCAAGTGATGTTACGACAAGTTAACGTAAGTGGCATTTATTATGTTGGTGCACACTGGTTTAAACCGGGGTGGCTTAAACTAGTTTATGCCAGCCGGTTTAATCCATGGATTAAACCGGTTTAAACCGGCTGCTGGCATAAATTTGCCAACCCTGGTTCCCGAGTTATGCGTTGGCTTCTTGGAAATTTTCGACATTCGACCTGGAAATCGGCGAAATTTTGCCTTCAATGACCTCTGGTGACCTGACCTTTGACCTGACCAAAAAATTGACCGAAGTGATTATGCCATTATTTTTGACGCTCTTTCGAACGCCGCCTTCCGCGTATCGCTACGTGGCCCAGGGGCCGAGTTACAAGGGGGGGGGGGTGTTCAAACACCCCCCCCCCCCCCAGCAGGGCGTGGAAATCCAGGACCCCCTGTCGGGCGCGGGTTAAATCTGCATGCAAAATCAAGAGAATGGCTCAAATCTATGACTTTACTAACATTCTGCAATGTGACACGATTTAAAAGCTAAATTGAACAACTTGCTCCGTTGCACTGTGCTTGTCTTTCAAAAATGGCCGAGACTAGGGTGACCCGTGTGCTCCGCAACGCGAAAAGGGGGTATTTACGATCGGCGGGTGTTTGGTTGTTCTTGTGTCGGTTGGGTTATCTATCCATTTCGGTCGATTGCTTTTTGATGGCTAAACGTTTTGGTTTGGAAAAAATATCCATCGGATCGAGGTGCCCGTGTCTGATAAGCATGCTTTCTACTTCAGAATCTGTCAATAGTTCAGTGAACCTGTCAAATGTGTTTTATAATTTAGGTGCGTAGTTTTATGACAAATGCAAGGCGTAGATAATTTTCGCTAAAAATGGTTTTGCAGAGGTTTGAAATATTTATATTTTTAAGAATACTGTTGCTTGTCATGCAAACGTGATGAGTGGGTCTTGGAGAGAATCGATAGGCGTTATCACAAGTGTATTCGCGGCCATTGGGGCGACGTAAGAAAAGAAGAAAACAACTGGCCCCAAGAACTTTAAATTATCAGTTAGCATGCACCTTTTCCTTGATCTGTATAGAATTTACCATTAATTGCTAGAGAAAATTGCATTTAAAATCTTCCATCTATCCTTTTTCATCGTTTGCACAATATGTTCTTTTACTAAGCTTAAAACACTAATTATAAATAGTTCCCGCATCATCAAGAACAATAGGGAAGGCTTGAAGTGAATATAATAATCTAAACTTACAATCTATGTTGAAGACACTTCTAAAATTGCCTGCAGAAATATTCAATGCAAAAGTTCAACTTTCTCACAAGACGGATGTCTATAAACCTATTCAACGTGTGACAACTCAGCCGGTATTTCGTCGCCTACAGCCCAGCTTTCCCTAGTGACCGATAGAGGCGCTGCTATCGATGTCCGCCCGTGCTGCCTAACGTTGAATGCTCTTTCCAATGATAGCATTTTGGTTCGTCGGTTGCAGAACCACGGACTAAACCACTTCCCAGTAAGTGACCCGCTATTTAGAGTCTTCGCCTATTTGCGTCACGTAGTTCACACTAGGTTTATGCTACCGTATTAGGAAATATGTAGCCGGGAATACTTTAATTATCTTCAATCAAATAATGGGTTAGGGCCCATTGTCTCTCATGTGACATTCTTGGTGCGTCGAAGACGAAATTCGGCGCTCACTTTTGAACTGGTCGTCTGATCTTACAAGCCCGTTCTTCTGAATGCCTTCTTCACTACACAGCTGTTCAAGGTATTTTCTTCCATGGGCCGCGAGAAAAGCATCGCTGGAAAACAATTTCGTACCAAATGACTATATGTATGTTACTCTGTTTTGTATCAATTTTGAAGAATACGCGCAAATTTCTTGCTGATTTTAAATTCAAGAACGTGACGTTTTGAGTCGCACACCTATGTCATGCGGAGTATGCTTCGGCCACCCAGCAGCACTCCCAAACTGATGAGCTCGGTGAATAAAAACCTCCGTAGATACGCAGCCAATATTTTATCTGCACTGTTACTCGCGTCATGAGTGACAGAACACTAATCCCACCAGAAAATGGACACACCACACTGGATGGGTGCACGCCTCGCTGTTGTAAGTGCATATCTAACCCGTACAGAGCATGTCGCTGTGTGAAACTGGGAAGACAGTGTAAGTACCACATGTCGATTCGGAGACGACTGTCTGAATTCAGCACCGAAATTTTCACCAGCATGCGACATTGCCACGGAAATTGCAAATCTGAAGCAGGGCAGCCGGGTCCTACCGCTAATCCCAAAAGGAGCGCGTATTGCAGTAGCAGACGAGCTTGCCCACCTTATCGATGACGCCGTCGAACTGGGCACCAAGGAAGCGTGGCGAAAGCTTCTGTGCTTTGCATACTCTGCGCTGAACATCGACAGGGAAGCGCGGAGGACAGAAAAGACATCTCTAGCCACTAAAGTGCGGCTGAACTTAGCACAGAACAATGACACAACCAAAGTCCGTCTTTCAAGACCCAACAAACACTCTCGTGACCATCGCCCGATGGACGAGATGGCAGCACTATCACGGCGCGTGGCATCAAAAATCACGGATGGCGACATCCGGGGAGCGCTGCGAGCTCTAACCTCAGATGACTCCTTCGCACCTCCAACAGATGAAGTTATCAAGAAGATGCAAGAAAAGCACCCAGAGCCGCCCAATGATCTGCGAAACATTCCGCCACCTGATGACACAGACGTGCCTCTAGTGGCTTCAGAGACCGACGTATTAAAGGCGATCAACTCCTTTCCGCCGAGCTCCAGTGCAGGTTTGGATGGGATTCGCCCCGCCCACCTGCGCTCCCTCCTCACTAAGCACACCGCCGAGGCTGGAGCTCGTCTACTCACAGCTCTGACAGCGCTCACGAACTTGGCGCTCAGCGGCCGTCTTCCGGAATACGCAACGCCAGCGTTCTTTGGCGCGTCGTTGATCTCTCTCAGAAAGAAGGACGGTGGTCTGCGGCCCATCGCTGTCGGCAGTGTGTACCGCCGCATCGCTGGCAAGGTCGCCGCCACGGCCGTCTCATCGGCCATTGGAGCTCAGCTGCGACCAGTGCAGCTCGGCGTGGCCACGAGGAATGGCTGCGAGGCAGCAGTACACGCTACTAGAGCGTACTTCGACCTATGTGAAGCCTCCGCAAGCAACAGAGTCCTCGTGAAGCTTGACATCTCCAATGCATTCAACACTGTGCGTAGGGATGCGATGCTTGAAGCTGTGAGAACTCGTGCGCCTGAAATTTACTCATTTGTATGGCAGGGCTACAACAACGCCGCGCCACTTTTCATCGGTGGCAGCAAAATCCTATCTCAGGCAGGAGTCCAGCAAGGCGATCCGCTGAGCTCCCTGCTGTTCTCTCTGACAGTGGACTCTGCCGCTAGAGCTCCAAACACAGAAATGAACACCTGGTACCTGGATGACGGAACGCTGGCTGGTCCACTACCTGATGTCATCACCAGTATCAAGCAAGTGAAGGCAGAAATGAACAAAGTGGGCCTCGCCATAAATGCAGGCAAGTGTGAGGCCACCTTCTTGGGAGCCTTCGCCGATGACACCAATCTCAGCGCCTTGCAGGAGCTGCAAAGTATTCTGCCCAACATCCGGGAGGTCCCCGCGGACGAGCTGGAGCTGCTTGGTGCACCTATACATGACGCTCAAACAAGACGTGCGCTTCTGCAAGGTCAGCTGATGGTAGAAAAGCTTGTCAGGCGTCTTTTGGCTCTGGAAGAGGCACATCAGGCTTTCTTTTTGCTGAAAAGCTATGTGTCCGTTCCTCGTCTGCTGTACCTGCTGCGGAGCTCTCCAGCCTACCGGTATCCCGCCCAGCTCAACAGAATCGACGAAGCAGTTCGCCGTGGCATGGAGACGATCACAAACGTCCAGCTGCGTGGCGTTTCATGGCGACAGGCGACACTGCCAATCAGCCTCGGTGGGCTAGGCGTAAGGAGAGTGACTGACGTTGCCCTTCCTGCTCATCTCGCATATCAAGTGGCCTCCGCTGACACGATTGCATCTATTAACGGCTCCGCCGCTGATCGTGTCAGTGAGCTAACGAGGTGCCTGATCTCAGAGTGGGAACGTCGCACAGGCCTGCCTCCACCGGAAGCGCACAAGCGGTGCTATCAAAGAGAATGGGATCGAGCCGAGACAGCAAGAATCGGTGAACAGCTGCTGGAAGAAAGCAAAACTGATGTTGATCGAGCCCGACTCCGAGCTGCCGCACAACCACACTCTGGCGCCTGGCTAAACGCCTTCCCAGCCACCAGTGTGGGCACGTTGCTCGACTCTGACACCCTGCGGACGGCCGTCGTCCTGCGGGTGGGAGCAGAGATCTGTGCTCCTCACCGCTGCCGCTGTGGAGCCGACATCGACGAACGAGGCCTGCACTGCCTAAGCTGCCAGCTGAGTGCTGGCCGGTTTCCGCGCCACGCAGAACTCAACAGCGTCATCAAACGTGGGCTGGCGACCGCTGGAATGCCATCTGTTCTCGAGCCGGCCGGTCTAGACCGCGGAGACGGACGTCGCCCAGACGGCATGACGACCTTTCCCTATGCAGGAGGGAAGTGCCTCGTCTGGGACGCTACCTGCGTCGACACGTTCAGCGCCTCATCAGTCAAGGAATCCGCGGCCCGAGCGAGCTCAGCTGCAACCGTCGCCGAGAAACGTAAGCGCCATCGCTATGCCGACATAAGTCGACGCTATCATTTCCACCCTGTCGCCATAGAGACATCCGGAGCGCTCGGCCCGGACAGTTACTCCTTCTTGAAGGAGCTCGGCCGCCGTATTGTGAAGACCACAGGAGACCGACGGGACTTTGAACGCCTCATGCAGCGCGTGTCTGTGGCGGTGGTGCGCGGCAACGCCACAGCCGTTCGACTTGCGAGCGTCAGTGTAAGGCCGAGCCACAGAGCCAACATTGAGCCAAAATCACTTCCATGGCCACCCACAAACTCAACTGGCACCGAAGCAAAGCTCCCACCGGAGCTACCAACCACCACGTCTCTTACGACCAGACCAGCAGAACAGGAGACACTGGATCCATTGAACATGGGACTTCCCAACAATGGTAACTCATGCTACCAGAATGCTGTGCTGCAGTCGCTGTTTGGACTAAGTCCATTCCGGAACGATATGATAGCTCAGGTCACTGCTTCGAAGAGTGACATGTGCCCCACGCTGCACGCCGTAGGTAAGCTGATGATGTTTCGTCAGAAGGCCCTCGAAAAGGATATCGAAGACCACCTTAGGAAGCTGCGCGGCGTATTCACCAGCATTGACCCGTCATTCGGCGGCACCGAGATGCAGGATGCCGATGAGTTCCTGCTCTGCCTGCTGGACACGATGAAAGATGAGTGCCGATCAGCCGAAAATCCCATACGTGACAACTTTCAGTACCAGACTGTCGAAAGCTTCCAATGCACCAAGTGTCACGAGACTGTGCTAAAACGACAGGAAAACATCAGCTGGTCCGTGAGCGTGCCGCACCACCTAGGCACAGAGCCACCAACACTTCAAGATGCGCTCCGGCTGAGCATGCAGCCTGATCGGCGAGAGCTTCGCTGCCAGCGCTGCCATCACCATGAGTGCCACGTCACCACCCAAATCAGCAAACTACCCAGACGCTGATTCTGCAACTGAGCCGTTATGCCTTTCTAGGGGGAGAGTCCAGGAAAATACGAGCCAGCATGGGCGTCCCCGATGTCATATCTCTTAGCGAATACGTCGTACATGATGCAACCCGAACTCCAGACCCCTGCTCATGTACACCTTCCGACTTTGAGAAGGCGAGAAGTTCAACGGCACTGTCTCCACCGTCAGCCGCAAAGTCCTCGCCTCATCGTCGCTGTGACGGTGGCCGAGACGCCAGACCAGCCCCCCAAATGCCAGCGCGTGCCAGTCGCCAGCCCTCGGCGCTCATCATCATCATCATCATCATCATCATCATCATGTATTGTTAACAAAACAAGCATCAAACAAGATATGCAGGGCGGTGCAAAAGCACTCCGTGCTTATGTCGAGGCACCGCTCCCGTCACACATACATGAATACTTCAAGAATCACATACACCAAACAACCCTCTCACAAACGCACGCCCACTCCCCACCCCCGCCGACCCAATGTATTTACAGCGCGGCAGCGTTTTCTCAAACGCGCGATGGGTGTGCTCTATGCAATAAGCACTTGTGCAAATATTTATTATACTTCGAAACGCTTTGAAAGTTTAATGTACTTGTGCACGATCGCAATCACAGCCGGACCAGCAGCTATTGTTAAATCTGATCCATAAAGGATCATATTCATTTTTTCACTTATTCTTAGTCGGTTGAAATTGGGTATCAAATCTTCCAATGCCACATTCATCTCATTTCTGATTGTGTTATATTGAGGGCAGTGTAGGAAGAAATGCTCAACTGACTCAATCCCTGACGCGCAGCTGCAAATTGGGGAATCGGTTTTTGGTGAATTGATTTTGAATAAATGTGCATTGAGGCTCGACATACCCAGTCTAAGCCTGGTGTGAATTATGTTTTCTTGTTTATGTCCTAAGCTGAAAAACCTTGGAGGTTTTGTTGAACCATACGCCTGAGCAACTGCCTGTGAAAAGGAACGGATACTTTGAATTGATCGGACTTCGTCTGGTAAGGTATTCCATCGTCGGATGGTGGATGGGAAAAAGGAACTCTTGTAGGAAGACAAGCGGTTACGTGGTAATGTTGTGTTTGTTGCGT